CAGCTTTACGCATTATGAAATTCTGATGTTAGAGTGTGCACTGTGAAAACATTAAATAAATACCACACTTCAGTCCAACTAGCTGCAATGTTTATTTAATTAAAATGTAATTATATATATATAAAAAAAACCTACCTCAATTTAATAAGTCACATCCACAGTTCAGTAAGCATTCATTGCAGAGTACCAAGGTTATAGCTCATGTTCACTAATAATCCGCACTATATACATGTTTTAATTTAATGTTTGAAAGGCACTTCTACCACTATATTATAAAATTAAGACTTATCTACAGCAGAGGTTAACAGTGCACATCATTTAAACGTTCATGGATTCGTGAATATGCCAACCAAAATACCAAAGGCTCAGTTCACTGATCTGTAAAGCATGTGTTATCAGCCATGTGACTGCTATTCTCACCTCCCATTGCTGAAGACAACAGTCATTATGCCAAATAAAGGTCTTTGTAGCTCAGTGAATAGAGAGTCGGGAGTCTTCAGTGTCTGTTTAGCACAGATGATCACTCAGAATTTCCCCACGTCTACCAATGTTTTCTGTGCCTGTGTATCTAGGGAACTCAACTCTAACATTCTCATCTGCTACACTATGTGCAGTCATATGATTCCTAGTATTCTGCCGCCGGAACCTTTCTTGATTAGGGTTGACTTCTCTAGCTATAGTAAACCTGTACTACCCTCAAGTAATATGCATTAAGACTACAGTTGTACAGCAGGTACCATAAAGCGCGACACCTTTACTATGACAGCTCCTCTTCACAGTCCCTAACGCTCCTATGCAAATACTGACTTTGTGTAAGGAAGCACTTGCATAGGTGTGCACCCTACCCAATGTATAACGCAAGCATTGTGATGGGTTGCTCAGGAACAGAACAGTGTTTTCTGAGAGGTTTTGCAACAAAGCCAGCTGTCTAAGTCCTGGTATCATGCCAGTCTATGGTGCCAATGATACAAGTTTACTGTGAACGAGCACAATAACAAAGCAAGATTTCTCCCCAACAAAACGTCCATTATAATCCAGAAAAAATATATCTAAATCAGTCGCTTCAGAACTCAGTCTCCAAAAGGAAAACTCACTAGTACATTTCCTTTTCAAGTAAAATAGAACTCTATTATATGCTACAGATCAATCCACAGGAGGGTAATAAAAAAAAACAAAAAAAAAAAAACCTATAAACCATTTAAAGATTTGACACCCAAGCTGCAAATTTAGCATTTTACAAATCATTCAGACCTATAAATGTAAGAGCGAGGACATTTCAGAATATGGAGGTGCAGTCCAACATAGGATTTTCATAGAGCTTTTCTTTTTAGCATGGAATCCACCAGTATACTTGTCCAACAGCATGAAGTTGGATTACACTAACAATAATTTAAAGTAACACTAAACTTAGGAGTTAAATCTTAAAAATACACTCAAGTACCTTAGCTAATAACACAAATGTATTTTATTTGTGTATTATTTGGCCTGAGATCCTCAACTCATCTCTGAATTGGTGCAGACACTGTCCTTCCTTCTGAAGGGTGACTACTTTTGTTCTCCATGGTCCCTGTGTTTGTTGTAAAGCAGCCACCGCACCAAGCTCGCTCCCCTGATGGACTACAATCTCATGTTTAGTTTACTCATTTGTACTAAAATGATAGTTTATCATGGGAGAGCGCTTGGAGTGGTGACTACTTTACAACACACACAGGGACCATGAGGAACAAAAGGTAGCCACCCTCCAGAAGGAAGGACAGTGTCTGCACAAATTCAGAGATGATTTCAGGATCTACAGCTGAGTGATCACAAATAAGATACATTTATGTTCATGGTTAAGGTACTTGAATCTTAAAAATGCAGTCAAAGCCTGAGTTGAGTGTCACTTTAACTCTGTTTCTGAGAAGTCACACACAAGTGCTGTACAGCGATTTCTAAAGCCATGAAAATGCCTTCCTCTGCACCATACCAGCAATCATTTACAGGAATAGTTTTAAGCAATGAGCTTTGTCTTCTACTACTGTACATAACACTAGAAACCCATTCATCGAAAGGTCTTGTATATACGAGCTTCTGCTTGTACAAGAGGAGTGTGTATAGTAAGCTTTTAGAAAGATTTTCAACAAGCTTTAAAGCAGCATTGCTGAAATGTTTAAGGACCCAGTCACGCTATGTTTAGTGTAGTAACACATGTGCCACAATTCAGGAAAAGTTACTTTTTCTTTATTTTTTACACTGCAGTGCACCACAACCAACAGTTGTGGTGCCCTGTAGTGCAGGTACGCTTTGAGTGCCATTTAAAATGGACGGCAACCCACACATACAACCTGAAGGCCATAAAACAGGGGTGGGCATCCTTGGCACTCCAGCTGTTGTGAAACTGCAAGGCTGCTGGAGGCATGATGGAATTTGCTGGAGTGCCGAGGTTGCCTAACCCTGGCCTAAAACACACTTAAGGTTCATTTTGTGGGGTGTTAAAATTGGAGTGAGGGCTGTGTTTACAATCCCCAAATCGGAGCCGAAGGGTACCTTAAGTTTTCAGCAAAGCTGCTGTATACACTGCTCTTCTACAAGTGGACGCCTGTGCACGGCCATTTTATAAAAGCCTTAGGTGAGCTTTGTATGCATCTCTCAGCTACACAGAGGCTGTATTTGAGTGTGAAAAGGTTCATAAAGCAGTCACTATTCTGGCAGGAAGCACTGGCTTCTCTTTTTAGTTTTTCTCATATTTATTGCACCGGTGGCATCTGTATTATACAATCTTCAATCAACTGCCACAACTTTCAAACATGAAAGAAACTATTAAAGTAGCCCTGCCACTACACGGTCCAAACACATTTAGGCTCGTGCTGTATACTTTCCTTTCCAGCAGCCACTTTGCTGATCTGCGGTCACTTCCAGGTGTGTAGAATACCAGCCCCCCCCCCCTTCAGCATGCATTAGTTCATCCTGCTGGCTAGTGACATATAGTGACGCTAATCTCAGAAGTTAAATATTAAAAATGCATTCAAGTACCTTAACTAATAACAAAAATGTATCTTATGTGTGTATCAGGCGGCTGTAGATCCTCAAATCATTTGTGACACTGTCCTTCCTTCCGGAGGGTGGCTACTTTTGCTCCCCCATGGTCTCTGTGTGTGTTGAAAAGTAGTCATCGCATCAATTTCACTCCTGTGATGGACTACAATCTCATTACAAAACAGTAAACTAAACCTGAGATTGTAGTCCATTGCAGGAGGTAGCTTGCAGCAGTGACTACTTTGCAACACACACAGGGACCATGGGGAACAAAAGTAGTCACCCTTCAGAAGGAAGAACAGGGTCCACACCAATTCAGAGATGATTTGAGGATCTACAGCCGAGTAATACATAAGGCACTTGAATGTATTTTAAGATTTTAGCATCACTTTAATCTCACAATATAATAATCAATCCTATAAAAGTATACTGTAGAGAACATGGTAAATGCACTGCACAAAAATCACATTATGGTTGAGTTTGTGACTGTATTCCAGGGCCAGATAACGGACCTGATGTGACTAATTGTGGGTTTTTCATAGCATGAGTATCTGTGGCAGCAGGGGGTTGTGAACAATTCATTCCAAACCACAGGGAGGGAAAAGGTGCCTTGTCCTCCAATTTAGAAGCATTGCTTCACATTTCCATTATTCACCATGCAAGCCCGATTCCTGTTCCTTATGCATGAAAAATCAACTACCAGCTAATGTGTGAGAACCTCCAACTACATCAGACATTAATGACAACTAGTGCAAGAAAACAAACATTGCTATTACCTATTGCAAACAAACACTTACTTCTAATGTCTAAACTACACAATGGCAGCTGAAATCCAACCGATTGCAATGACTGATTATTATACTAGTTTCTGTGCTTAGGTGTCTGCGTTTATTCCCTTATCCATCATTTCATCCATGATCCTTTCAGCTTTTTTGATAGAAGGAAATGAAATGACATGAACCTGCCAGTACTTGGATGCCGCAGATCTCAGAGACACAGAGCAAGGCCATCAATTAGACTTGAGGGAGCCATCCTCGCGCGTAATGTGTTTTGGCCTGTATAAGGAAAGCATTTCATTAGAAAACCTCAAGCAGCTTTCTTAGCAAGTGACTAGCCTCAATAAAAAGGTTGGGCCTATAAATTAGTAGCTTTCACTGTCAGGGTGACGGGTACACTTTATAGTTCATAAGGCAGGACAGTAAAATTATAGATTTTGTCAATATTGCTCTTTTTTCAGTACCGTCCCCTTAAACCAAGCCTGTACTATTAAAAATAAGGGACAGCTGTTTTAACCTTCTCCTGAAATGGCAGTTGCCTGGTTGTCATGCTGATATCAATAACTTTAGTACTTTGATTACTGTCCTAGAATGAGTATGCAGATCAGTTCTAATTTAATTTGCATTTTCTTGGTATCAATGACAGCCAATCAACTAGCATTGTTTAGTAGAAGTTAACATGTACTACAGGTGTCCATTATACAGACAAAGGCTCTTAAGATAATACTTTGCCATGAAGAAGTGACGCAAACACAGAATCTGTAGATTGGGGCAACTGTAGATCTGCCTGTGTACAATGTCAAGGAGCATGCTAGGTCTAACCGGTTATGTAGACTGTACACAGCAGTGTGTACAGTTCCCCCCATGTCGAGGAGCATGCTAGGTCTACCCGGTTATATAGATTATACACAGCCAGGTCTACAGTTCCCCCAATGTCGAGGAGCATGCTAGGTCTACCCGGTTATGTAGATTGTACACGGCCAGGTCTACAGTTCCCCAATGTCAAAGAGCATGCTAGGTCTATCCGGTTATGTAGACTGTACACAGCCAGGTCTACAGTTCCCCCAATGTAAAGAGCATGCTAGGTCTATCCGGTTATGTAGACTGTACACAGCCAGGTCTACAGTTCCCCCAATGTCAAAGAGCATGCTAGTCTATCCGGTTATGTATACTGTACACGGCCAGGTCTACAGTTCCCCAATGTCAAAGAGCATGCTAGTCTATTCGGTTATGTATACTGTACACAGCAGTGTCTACTACAGTTAGGCCAATGGCAAGCAACATTAAAAGATTTCCCTTTTGAAAAAGAAAAAAAAAAAAGGTCACTTCCAAAGCCTATGCAGACACAAGGATATCAGAGATAAAACATTGTACAGTGCGGATCATTTAACTGTCCTGCCTTATAGCAATACATGTCTTTGAAAAGGGGGTTAATACACTTAAAAGAGGAAGAAAAAGGTCAAAGTCAATATACCCGACACCCCCATATCCCCCAATGTATAAGATTACATCATTGTTTGCACCAAATTTGAAATGTTGAAACAAACACATATCCAGTCATTGAAGGATGCACCTGATTTTCTCTAGTCTTGTGACAACTTTCCCAGCAGCATTGTGGGTAAAATTCTCCTTTAAGCATATGTGCAAAAAAAAAAAAAAATTCATCAGTGTCTGGCTAAAGGAAAAAAAATGCAGCACTTGGTTACCTAAGCTACCAGTGGGATATTCCTCAGTCCTCATTGGCAAGTGTTTCTGTGGAAAGCCAAATTTTGGCACCATTTAAAAACTTGCTTAAAGGAGTCCCCAGTATACTGCGGCGGCACAAATTCCCGACTGGAGAGAACGGGAAAGAGGAAGAGAGGAAGTCCAAACTTTCGTAGCTACTGTGCAAGTCATCAGCTCGAAAAAACATTCTGCTTTGTTCGCTTTCTGGGGAAGTGGCCTGGGACAATGGGTAGGATCGGTACTGACGGAGGCTTGTCTGCAGCATTTCAATTTCATCTGCCAGTAGGGAAATTTTATGGAAAGCAGTGATGAAGCCACCATGGTTAATTTGAGCCTCAGGAACCCATCGAAGGTAGCAGAGCTTCCACAGTCTTAGGTCTGGCCCATTTAACTTCGGTAACAAAACTCCATGCAGATCTACTGGCTTAGAAAACCAGTCTCTAATATAATGTTCTAGTCCATTGTTCTGGATTTCTGGCACATGGTGAACAAGTTCAGGCTTCAGCCTCAAGATCAAGGAGTTCCTACGTGGCATGATCTCTGGTTGGGGAAGAATACCATTCTTCAGGGAAACTGGCATCCCCCGTAACGTAGAACTGTAGTTTTTCTGAGACGAAAGAGAAGGAATAACAATATTAGCCAAAACACAAGTGGAGACATCATCACAGATGGGCCTAGTTCTCCACACAGCAACCGCTACAAACAGACCTGCCATTAGATTATAGTATATTTTGGATGAATAGCAGAAGATGTAAAGGAATTCAGAGCAGCAGAAAAAATAGCAAGGATGTGCTACTGGAAAAGGCTTGTCAAAAGCCTATCTCTATAGGGAATATAGAGGAGATGTAAAGCATCAGAAGCAAAAGATAACAATGACTAATCTGTATCCAGAACCTTTAATATTCATATACGGGGATGTCTGTGAAGGTGCTCATTCATCCAGGTCATTGTATATCTGTAAAAAATAAGTCAAGGCAACTGGACTTGCTGTATTTTTCTTGAAGATGTTTCACTGGTCATCCAACCAGCTTTCTCAATTCAGAATGACTTGTACAAAAAATTATCTGGGAATGAATATGGTGAATGTTGCTCCAATCCACATAATCTGTTAGTCACAACCAGGTGTTGATTGCATTTGTATAATTGCAGTCTAGAAGGTGTTATTAACCTGCCTCGAGAGAGGTGTTAAAAAATAATTGTGTGTGGCAGACAATAGATGTCTCACCCCCCCCCCCCCCAGGATGCGTACTTGACTGTCTTCAAAGGAGTGACCTTTTTCCTTTAGATGTAGGTACACTGCCAAATCCTGACCAGAGCGTTTTGCTCTTCTATGCTGTGCCATACGCTGGCGTAACTGCTGTTTTGTTTCACCGACACACACTTCTTAGCACTCCTCACTGCACTGGACTGCATACACAATGTTGTTCATCTTGTGTTTTGGCGTTGGGTCTTTTGGGGACCCAGTTGTTGCCTCAGCGTATTGCTGGGTTTAAAGCAGACAGGGATGTGATGTTTTTTAAAAACCCTTCAGAGGTTCGACACCCCAGCTACATATGGGATGACCAAATTGTTCCATTTGTCATGTTTTTCACCCTCACTGGTACTCTTGGGATTCTTTTTTCTGTTTTGACAAAGGCCAAGACGAAAAGGTATTCAAACACCTCAGGGGGGTCCTTAAAACTTGCGGGTATCCAGACTGGGCTTTTGTATGCAGTTCAGTGCAGTAAGGAGTGCTCAGAATTGTATGTCGGTGAAACAAAACAGCAGCTACACCAGCGTATGGCACAGCATAGAAGAGCCAAACCCTCTGGTCAGAATTTGGCAGTATACCTACATCTAAAGGAAAAAGGTCACTCCTTTGAAGACAGTCAAGTACGCATCCTAGACAGGGAGGACTGCTTTAAAAGAGGTGTGAAAGAGGCCATTTATGTAAAAATGGAGAAGCCAAGCTTAAATAGAGGTGGTGGTGATGGTGGTGAGACATCTATTGTCTGCCACATACAATGCCGTTTTAACACCTCTCTTTGGGCAGGTTAATAACACCTTCTAGACTCCAATTATGCAAATGCAATAAACACCTGGTTGCGACTAACAGATTATGTGGATTGGAGCAACATTCACCATATTTATTTCCAGATAATTTCTTCCACAAGTCATTCTGAATTGAGAAAGCTGGTTGGATGACCAATAAAACGTCTTCCAAAAAAATACAGCAAGTCCAGTTGCCTTGACTTATTTTTTTACAGACATCTACGGGGATGTCATGGTTACATAGGTAAATGACAGTAGTCCATTAAGTTCAATCAATAGATAAAAATAATAAATACATGGATTGGATCCACTGTTGCTATAGGTTTCTGTATATGGGGTAGTTCCTGTGGACAGCAACAAAAACCTTACTGATTCATGAAAAAATGAAATAATCTCTGGTGTTATAAATGCTAATAGGCCATGCCTATTCTGTGCATATAGCAATACAGCCAAACAAATTAACTGAGCTAGCTAGAAATAGTTCCTGGGGGAGCCCATTTCTTTTCACAGCCTTTCAGTATGGGAGGTTAAATCTCTTTTCCTCCAGATGCAAAGAGTGCCCCCTTGTTGTTTGCAGTGACCTTAAAAATCAATAATTTGGCAAGTTCCATATATAGGCCATTGATGTATTTATGCATAGTGATCATATCCCCCGTAATCGCCTCATCTCAAGCAAGAATAAATTCAGTTCAGCTAAACTTTCCTCATAGGATCTTTATGCCTTTTATCAGTAGGTTTCCCTTCTCTGCTCTCTCTTCAGTTCCCCAACATTTTGGCCGCACACCAGCTTTATCTGAACTCTTTCTTTATTCTTTCATAAAAGCATAACACAATAGCAGAATTAAGACTTCCGCGATTCATGCACACAAACCCTTAATCCTTTTTTTTAACTGGTGACCAAAACTGAACTGCATATTATAGATGAGGACTTACTAATGCTTTGTACAGGGGCAGGATTATGTCTCTCTCTCTCTCTCTCTGAAGTCTATACCACTTTAAGTACAAGAAAGTATTTTGCTTGCTTTAGAAAGTGCAGCTTGACATGTATGCTATTATTGAGTCTATGGTCTACCAGAACACTCGGATCCTTCACAATTATTGACATTATTAAGCATGTTTCTTAATTCTTAAAGTCAAGCATACAATACACTATACATTGTATACGTCATAGTATACATTGCTGTGTCTACAAAGGCAGAGAAAAGTAAACATCTGGCTCCCCTAAGGGTGTTACTGATTTTCCCGTTTACATTTTTAGCCAAGAGAGTGCCCAGTTGACGCACGAATAGGAAAATAAATACAGAATTTAGGAGCCAACGAGCAAGTTTAGGTAGACAGGAAATATAAGCCAGACCAACCCTAAAGAAATCATTAGAGATTTTAAGAATATGCATAAAAGTCTAATTGTCCTTCTTGAAATCTATATAGGGACACAGGACGTTTTCACCATTATACTGCTACCTACAGGAGCATTAGATACTGACCAAAAAAAATAAAAACCCTGTAGGCCAGTTTAGGATAACCCCTCCTACAACCAGCATGCCTCAGGTTTGTAGCAAGCAGAACTGAGAGTGGGATCATAATCACAGGGTCCCTCAATGGACTCCCAAGAAAATGATTTTACAGCCAGAACAAAAATCCTATCTTCTTTCTGACCCATTGACGGAAACCACAAGTCTTTAGTTTTCTGCATGTTCAAAAACAGTCCAATAGTGGTGGGAAACAAAGCAAATGCTAAAGGCCCAAGAAGAAAAAAAAAAGCAGAACAGACCTGGAGACTGCCTGCAGCTAAAAGAGCCACCTGAAGGACCTTACACATGAAGTTGGCATTAGATGAGGCCACAACGTCCACCTGGTAAAATGATGTGAATGTGTAAACAGAAGACCAGGTGGGCAGTCTTGCAAATCTGGGAAACAGTTGCTTGATGCCGAAAAGCCCAAGAAACACTCACAGATCATGCCTTGAAAGGAAAGGTTACAAACTGTGCCTTGAAAGGAAAAGGTTGAACCCAATTCTTGAGACTATAAGCTTGGAAGACAGTCTGTCTGAACCACCTCAGGGGTGTGGAAATTTAAAAAAAAACTACTTGTCCAAGGGCTAAAGCGGGGGCCAAATCTACTTGTCCTTCACGGCAATCTACTTGTCCCAATACAAAAAATAGTTTTAATCAAAACTAAGGATGCACCAATACCGTTTTTTCGGTATCGAGTACCGATTTTTTGCTTTCGGATCTCGCCGACACTGAATACTAATACCGGTGCTTCCGCTGACATAGAGCAGGCTTCCCTTGTAATCAGGAAACCGGGCAGCAGGTAATGACATCCCGCCCAGGTTCCTGATTGCCACGGAAGCCGGCTCCATGTTGTTTGGCCTGCTTGATTGGCCGGGAAACCTGCTTCCCGGTCAATCAGGAAGCCAGGTGGCGAGTAATGACCTGATTGACCGGGAAACTGGCTCGATGCTGATTGGCCAGGAAGCCGGCTTTCCAGCCATTCAGCAAGGAGCCGGCTTCCCGGGCCAATCAGAAAACCAGGAGGCGGGTCATTACTTGCCGCACGGCTTCCTGATTGCACGGGAAGCTGGCTCCATGTTCCCCTACAGCACAGCTCGCGGTATACCGAGATGCCGCAGCCGGAACGGATCCTGACAATTCTGTCTGGATCCACCCAGCTGCGTGAGTGACAACTGGCTCTGCCTACCTAGAGGCAGAGCCAGCTGTACCCGCCCCCTCCCCCGTCCGTTCCGCCAGTCAGCGCTGGGGGATCGGACAGGGGGAATCCCTGCAGGGAGCCGTGAGTGATAGTGACGGCTCTCTGCACGGATAGATTGAGAAGTGATCGAGCGCCGGTATGTGTTTGCTCACCTCCCGATCTACTGAGCCGACCTGTGACAGTCTCATTGTCGCAGGTCGGCTCAGATTATGAGGCTTAGTGAAAATCACTCACCTCATAATTCTCCTTTAAGAAAAATAAAAAAGGATATCTGAAAAAAAGCACTAGCATAAAAAAAATAATATGTTGATCTTTAACCCAGCTTAGCAGAGCTGAAGAAAAGAAACCTGTCCTCCTAGGACACTAGTAAAAAAAAAAACTGAGGCATACTGGTACCGAAGTTTAAGACTTCCTGTGTCCTTCAATGAATGAAAAAGAAAGAAGGATTGGTGCTCCTTTATGTACACTCTTTGTGGTATAATGATAGCATGTCAGCATGTTTTGTTGCTTCTTCTTAGGAATTCCCTATATAGCCCAGTTCTCACAAGTGATGCATGAATTAGGCTTTGCATGGCCATCTTAAATAAAGGTTCTTATAGTGTGACACTTACATTTGATCTGACACTCAGATTAGATTGTTCTGGAACACTCCGTGTTGACTGGGCCCCCCAGTGCTGCAGGAGACAAAATACATTTTAAAGCTTTGTAATATTCCTTTTTATAGGAGTTAAGAAAAAGTAGTGCCGTGATTATTGAAAAGGCACAGTGAAAACACATTTGTGATCAGCTACTGGCTGTATATGAGCATTTTATTATTAATTGCTTTGTCTCAACAAAAAAGTGCAAGTCCATGAGTGGTATAATAAGTCAGTAAGCATTCCAGGTTTGGGTACACTAACCCTTTCAGAATTATCTAGATCAGGGGTAGCTAAACTTCGGCAGTCCAGCTGTGATAAAACTACATAACTACTAGTCTCATGAGGCATTGCAAGACACTAACAGCCACATGAATGACCTTAGATACATGATGGGATTTAACAACAGCTAGAGGGCTGCAGTTTGACTACCCCTGATCTAGATAAATGATCAGCTTTTCTCAAGGACTACTTTTAAACTTTATAACAAGCCAATAAATGGACAGAAGTACATTCTATATTATCATATTAAGAGACCCACTTTGTGCACTGCCCTAGCACTAGGGTGCCACATCTTTGACAAATTGCCAACCACTGCCTCAAGGTCAAAGGGCTTGCTTGAATCATAAAGCAACAGAAGTGAAATAGGGATTTTCAATGGATGGGAGGATACTTTAAAGTGACATTAAAGGCAAAACATTTTTTCCCTCCCCCCAATGTAAATGTTAGCACTTACCTCAAGTGATGTCTCTTTCTCCGATCTTCCTCCTCTTTCCCCATGTTTTCATGTGTCCCTCCAGCGGTGTGACGTCACTCCGATCCATCGCTGACTGCTCTGTCTCTCCGATCCAGCGGTGTCTGCAGGCGGGTGCACGCGTCCATAGACTTACCTTGCGTCTCTGCTCGTCTCCCGGCCGAGAATCGGAACTGTGCATGCGCCCGCCCCAAGATCCTTTGCGGCGGTACGACCAGAGCCCTGATTCTCGGCGCGGGAACGAGCGGCGATAACGAGGTAAGTTTAAAAGGACTTTAAGCGCTTTTGGTTTTTTTTTACACTTCTTGCCTATATCTACTGCATGCTAGCAGTAGATATAGGCAAAAAAAACGGAGGGTTTAGAACCCCTTTAAGCAACAGCAGGGGACTTTGTCAGTATTACTTCCCAATTAAAAGGTGCTTTCCATTTTAGATCAATCCTTTTCTTGTTGTAACAATGTAAAAGATATTGTTATATTCATTTCATCTGGTCAGTTTACCTTTGTCCTTTTAGAAAACTTGTAATTTCCATTCTGAACACTGGGGACACTCTTTCCAATGTACAAGGGGTTATTGAACAGAGAGCGATCCTTTGCTGAAAACTGCAGAGACCAGTTCCATACAGAGGGGAACTTCAGGCCTTTTTCATCCCCCAGTTGAATGTTTTTGCCTATCGCAAATTCCTGAAAAAGAAATGCAGGAAAAAAATGAACGAAATATCCAAAAACATTTGGCAACCAAAACATGTTACATGCTAGGGTCATATTTTATTTAGGTTCTTTTTTTAAGAGTAAGATGAATGCTTCTGCAGCAGTGATGGGTATCATTGTAGGTGAGCGAGACCTCTGTGTTGCTTCATGATAGATTTACAATTACAGCTACACTTTCTTTCTAGTCATAACCCTTTAAGGGTACACTGCATTGAGAGAAATATATAGGCTGCCATTGTTACATAGTATTTGAGGTTGAATAAAGACATATGTCCATCAAGTCCAACCTATTGTGTGTGTGTGTGTGTGTGTATAGATCCCTGAGTCATCTCGTTATTAGGAGTACTTGTACCCCTGTATATTACCGTCTCTCAGGAAATCGTCCAAAAGCTTCTTGAATGATTCCACACTATTAGCTAAAATCACTGCTTGTGGCAACGAGTTCCAGACCCTAACCGCTCGAACTGAGAAGAACCCCCTTCGCCCCTTGTGTTTGAATTTTTTTTCTAACAATTTTAGGTGGTGGCCTCTAGTCTGTTACGGAATTAATCTTAAAGAGTTTGTTGCTAATGTTGCTATGACTATATACCATTTTGTACATGAAAATCATGTCCCCCCTTAATCTCCTTACTTCCAGCGTGAACATATTTAAATTTAGTAGCCGTGTCTCAAAGCTTTTGTCCTCCATCCCTTTGATGAGTTTGGTTGCCCTCCGCTGGACTCCCTCCAGCTCAAGGACATCCTTTCTGTGCACCGGTGCCCAAAACTGCACCGCATATTCTAGGTGAGGCCAAACCAGTGATGTGTAAAGTGGCAAAAATTATAGGACTTGTCCCTGCAAAACATTCCCTTCTTGATGCAGGACAGGACTCTACTAGCTTTGCTTACAGCAGCCTGGCACTGTAATCTATTATTCAGTTTGTAGTCTACAATGACCCCCAAATCTTTCTCCATTTCAGACTTCCCTAGCGGCATACCCATAATTGTATAACCCATTTGCTTATTTTTAATCCCAAAGTGCATAACTTTGCATTTATCAACATTAAACCTCATCTGCCACAGTTGCCCATTCCCCTATTTTATCCAGGACCTCCTGCAATGTTATACTATCTTGGTCCGTTTCTATTACCCTCCCAATTTTTGTATCATCAGCAAACACTGAGATATCGCTGTTTACTCTGTCCCTGATGTCGTTAATAAACAGGTTGAATAGCATGGGTCCCAGCACAGAACCCTGAGGCACACCGCTAATGACACTAGCCCAGTCTGAAAGGGCGCCATTTATTGATACTCTCTGTACCCGTTCCTTTAACCAGTTCTCTATCCATGTACACACCCTTCCATCTATGCACATAGACCGCAGCTTGTATAGTAAGCGTTTATGAGGTACCGTATCAAAAGCCTTAGCGAAATCCAGATATACCACATCCACAGACCTCCCTCCATCCAGATCTCTACTTACCCCCTCGTAAAAAGTCAGTAGGTTAGTCTGACAGGAACGGTCCTTCCTGAACCCATGCTGATTATCACTAACTATACCATTATCCCGAACAATTTCTACTAAATAGTCTTTAATCATTCCCTCTAGCAGTTTGCACACTACAGATGTAAGACTAACTGGTCGGTAATTCCCAGGTTGGCATCTTGCCCCCTTTTCGAAAATTGGAACTACCGTAGCCCTTCGCCAGTCACATGGAACTCTACCAGTCATTAGAGAGTCCTTAAAAATGAGGAATAACGGTTACTTGTTATAACCTCGCTTACTTCCTTAAGTATCTTGGGGTGCAGATTATCCGGTCCCACTGCTTTATTTGCATTAAGTAGACTTAGTCTTTGTTGTATCCCGGGTTCCGTCAACCACTTGGCTATATTTTGTGATAACCTAAGTGTTTTATCATGGGCGTCAAACCCGTTTCACTCCTGAGTGTATACTGAGGAGAAGAAAGAGTTCAGTACTTCTGCCCTCTCCTTGTCATTTGTGACTAACTTCCCGCTTTCGTCCTTTATTAGGCCTATCTGCTCCTTTCTCCCTTTTTTACTGTTTATATATTGGTAAAAACATTTTTTTTTTTTTAACTATTTGTGGCGATATGTCTTTCGCACTGTATTTTAGCCGCCCGTATTGCTAGTTTGCATCTTTTATTGCTTTCTTTGTAGTTATGGAACGCCAATGCCGTCCCCTCTATCTTATATTTTATAAAAGCTTTTCCTTTATGTGATGGTTTACATTTTTATTCAGCCATACAGGTTTTGTTTGTGATCTTTTACTTGTATTACCCAATGGTATACATTTGGCAATGGCAATATGTAATGTGTTTTTAAAACATTCCTACTTCTGGTCCGAGTTCAGTTTATGAAATACATTTTCCCATTTGATGTCCCCCACTAGGTGGCGCAGTTTATCAAAGTTGGCCCTTCTGAAATTAAGGGTTCTTGTCCGTTCCGCCCTCTTTCCTTTCCTGTATTCAATATTGAAAGTAATCACATTGTGATCACTATTGTCCAGAGTCTCCCCAATTACAATATCCTCAATTAATTCTGCATTATTTGTGACGAATAAATCAAGGATGGCATTTTTCCTAGTTGGGACCTCCACCATCTGGTCCATGAAGTTGTCTCGCAACATTGATGACTCCTTAAGTCACTGTTCTGGAATAGGTACGCATTAAGTGACCCCCAAGTGAAGTCAAAACATTTGCTATGTGTACTTGTCCTGGGTCAGTAACACAAGATACTGAAGCCACTGGGTAAGAACAGAATCTATACAACTATAATTTTTAGAGGAGGATCAGCAAAGGCAGCTTACATGTTCCCTTAGTACAGGACAAATCCATTTTCAGAGGTTACAGATAATGGTAAGCTTAAAAGGAGAACTATGAGGTGAGTGCTTTTCACTCATCTTCATAGTTCTAGCCGACCTGTGACAATGAGACTGTCACAGGTCGGCTCAGTAGATCGGGAGGTGAGCGAACACATACCGGCGTTCGCTCACCTCTTGATCCTGTCACAGCTCTGTGCCGTGACAGGGGAGGGGCTGGATTCCCCCCTCCCCGCTCCGGCAGCGCTGACTGGTGTAACGGAGGAGGGAGGGTACAGCTGACTCTGCCTCTAGATAGGCAAAGCCAGCTGTCACTCACGCAGCTGGGCGGATCCAGACAATTGTCGGGATCCACTTCAGCTGCGGCGTCTCAGTATACCGCGAGCTATAGCTTGCGGTATACTGAGCTTAGGGTGATGGGAGGACGCTAGTTTGTGTCCTCCTGTTATCCTAAGGAGAACTATGGGGAAAAGCCCTAACTCTATAGTTCTCCTTTAAAGTCCTTTGTACAGCAGTAACAGAAATGTACTTACCGTACTCTGCTGGACACGCTGGTGTGGACAGTTGAAGAGAAATGTTCCAAAGAGTGAGATGCATGTGCTGTCATGTAACACAGTTAAATAGGTCTCTGTAAACTGGAAAGCTGCTGGGTATTGCTCTTGTAGCTGCCAAACGCAGTCCAGGAATAGCACAAATAGGGGACACTGAGGAAGAAAAACAGATGTTTGACAATCGGCACACTGATCTGTTTTTCATCTAACAATGCAGTGAAGTGTTCTCTTCTACCCTGCTTATTCTACACGATCATACATCCCCTAAACCGAAACACAACAGTTTTATGTATACATGTCTAGACTTCCCTCAACCAGTCACACCAACCAGAAACATTGTAAACACAGCTAGACTTTTTTTAACTAGTCGCACCAACCAGAAACATATATTGAAGTACTATTAACCAGCCACACCAACCAGGGACATACACTGAAGTACTATAAACTCCGCTAGACTTCTTTAAAACCAGTCACACCAACCTGGAACATACAATGAAGTACTAGAAAATGAAGTACCAGATACTGTACATTGAAGTACTGTAAACCAGTCATTCCAACCAGGAAAACACATTGAAGCACATGCCTAGACTTCCTTCAACCAGTCACACCAACCAAGAAGATACACTGAAGTACTGTAAACTAGGGATGCACCGATACTAGTATCAGTATCTGTGCCGATACCAAGTATTTGGGCGAGTACTTGTATTCACCCAAATGTGTTCGATGCTTATCCCGATACCGGAACTTCCGGTATCAGGAAGCCGGGCGGAGAGTCATTACATGCCGCCTGGCTTCCTGATTGGCTGGGAAGCCGGTTCCATGCTTCCTGATTGGTCTTGGAGCTGGCTAATCAGGAAGCCAGGCGCCGAGTCATTACCCCAGTCCCAGCTTCCTGATTGGCCAAAAAGCCAGCTCCATGCTTTCTGCATCACTCAACCTTTTAACACACATCTGATATAGTTAGGCAATGGACGCGTTGAAAAATCTTTTTTTCCTCTCTTCCTCTGTCACTTTAGAGCTCTACTGGAATCTTGAGGTAACTAGGTTTTCTGACAGTTCTAATTTCATGTCTAAAGGCTGCTAAGCCATCTGACATCTTTAAAACATAGAATCAGTAATATCAATGGAGATATCCATGTAAATGAAATTATATGTCTATGACCAAACGCTGACATTTGGTATCAACAAGAGACACTTTTGTATAACGCTCCTTAGATGGACTTAAATGGAGGAAAGAGTATAGATGATGCCTTTTAACTGAATTATCACAAACATACAGACATAGCTGATGCTATAATAAATGCTTGTACTAAGTATATAGTGGACAATGTGAATAGCATTTGAAGTGATATAACAAGCAATTAGGCATATTCAGACATTCATAATTATACTCTTCTCTGCACCAATAACCATCTGCTAGAAGTGATAATAGCATCCCAAACATCTGTGCCCTATGGAGACAAACAAGTAAAATCACAAAAGCATATCATCATGTACCTCCTTGTCAGATTTTTTCAAGTGATTGCTCCTATCAAGGAATGGATACCCAGCCATGACCCACTCCTTCTGTATAAGACTCTGAAAGCCAACAATGGTCCGGAAATACGGGTCCGACATCAGCTGGACAAGAGAGGCCACCAAGCAACTGAGGTCCCGACCTTCCTCCTCTGAAACACATGCAAGAAAATGCGGTCACTTCATCAGCCATTATTAATGTGTGGCCAGGGAACATGTTCATCTTTCTCTGTTTGGCACAATGTAAGACATTTTAGCTCTACACATGTAAAAGGGGAAATTACACTAAATGACATACACCGAACAAACTAATGAATGTAATTTGGACATCCGCAGATAACAACTCCTATATGATTTCCAAGTCAGTAACATGAAAAAGTATAGAATTAAAGTACGCACAGCAAGGAGGTCAGGGATCAGTCAGAAATTCATATCTGCTTATTGATTCCAGGTTGGTGACTCAGGAGTTGAATCAGGAAGGTAAGCATGACAGGCAGCTGCAGGTTTCTTTTAAAGTAACACTCCAGTTTTTGATAGATTAGAGAAAGGTTAGGACCCAAAGAGTAAAATAACACTTACTCCTGTGATCTTACACCATGTTGCGGTGTAGTATCATAGGGGTGTAAAAAAATACATTAATGCCTGAAATTCTACAGCAGGTGCAGTCAAACCTTGGTACTCCAGCTTTGGTTGTAGTCAAACTTTGGTCCTTCCATCATGCTTCAGCCTCTGTAAGTCATGGATGTGCCTGGTAGAGTCTTGCAATGCCTTATGGGACATGTAGTACCACAACAGCTGGAGGGCCGATGTTTGATACCCCTGTTCTACAGACTCTGGACCACTGCAATGGCAACTCTTTGGGCTACCAGTGAATAGCACAATATTGATGATGTCCATTTTTCCTATAAGCCCACCTACATACATATATCCCTCCAAGCCACTCAGCTTACAGAGCAGCCAATCCAGATATTCCTGCTATAAAGGATGGAACATAATGAATTGACAGTTTAAATACTTATAGTTACTAATTTAAAAAAGAAAAAACGTAACTCGAACAGGAAGTCAAATATTGGGAAAAGTGCTTATAGCTTCTTTTTTTTTACCTATACACCTTTGCATATAATTACCTATCTGTCTCAAGATAGAAAATAAGGAGGGAAAACAAATCATAGTACAAAAGGAAATAAACTAAAAGGGTTGCTGCTGTTATTTACCTTGGGACAGCTAGGTAAGTAAATGCACATTTATAGAAACAGACAATAGGGAAAAAAACTTAAACTGCTGTAAAAAAAAGCCTGATATTGCAACACTGTGGCTGAGTGTTTCATCTATTACACAGTAACGTCTAGTCATATTTAGGGGAGAGAACAGATCTACAGTAAAGGAAGCCTGGAAAGGAGCTGGAATGTAATGATTTGGCAGGGGATATAAAACAGTTTCTCCAAAATAGCAATTTTCTGACTCAACAGCTGTGCGATCCTTGGCAATCAGTTGACTTGGCAAGGAGGAGAAATGAGTCACACGCTGTACATTTCTGAGCTTGAGAGGGAAATCCCTGTGTATGCTCTATACAGAGCTGAATTCCACCCATAGCAAACACTAGCTGCTGTCTTCCTAGGACAAACTTCTGACATTTACACTACAGAGGGTTTTCCTTTATTTTACCATCTTTAGTTTTATATGCAAGGAGTTTGCATGTTCTCCCTGTGCCTGCGTGGGTTTCGTCTGGGTCCTCCAGTTTCCTCTACAAAGACATGTTAGGTTAATTGGTTCCTGTCTAAATCGGCCCTGTATGTATACGTGTAAGATAGGGGATCTTGGATTGTAAGCTCCTTAAGGGCAGGGACTGTGAATGTGCGTTATGTAATGCTTTGCATAAATTGTCAGCGCTATATAAAAATCTGTAATAAATAAATATGACCTTTTTAAAAGGCCATAGATAAGCAGAAAGCAAGCAGCAAACCTTGCTCACTTCCCTTTTCTGATTTATCAGAAATGGTTCCCCTTCCTTATTCGGTTTAATTAAAAGCATGGTTAACCCTTAACTAGGTTTAAAAAAAAAAGTGAAGTGATGACATATAATTCACTGATGGAGCTACTTTTAAAAAGAACCGATATTGTGCCTTATTTGTAACATTCCCCACGGCAACAATTATTGGCCCATTCAATAAGGTAAGGAACAATGAACAAAGTGACCTTTAGCAAACTGGTTTTATACATCTACTGAGCTGATGGGTTACTTCATTTTTCTCAATATTAAAACACACCGGCTAGTATTAATTACACTAAACAAAATGTTTTTAATTCTTTGGTGCACCTTTTTCCTTAACACTACGCCACAAAGTTTTAGGATAGGTTTAAGCACCTATAAAAAAAGGGAAAGGTGATTTGGGACATAGTCTGATGGGTGTTTGACATGCCGTAAGTGTTTTCCCAAAGCTCAGCTGTAAACACATATCAGCTCAGTATAGGTCTAAATAACAATCACCCTGTCCTTGTCTATTTCAGCAAAAGGCACCTGCAGAGTTTAGTCAAGCTCCGTCATGCATGCATTTTCCATTACATGGAGGAAAAAGTGCCTGATCTTCTATACTGCACTTTAAGTATACATCGCTCCTGCAGATATAAAACACATGCATGTAGAGTCATATGTCCATTCCACCGGTGGATTTTAACTTGGCATTTGTTTGTTTTCCCAACTGTGATGGCAGCATAACCCACTCTTTTGCCGCTATGCTCAGCTGGTGCAAAGATGGAGGGGATTCACACAAACACTGTGTGAAGCACAGTATTTATTTGGCTTTATACGTCTGAACAGCCAAATGACAGCCTAACAATACTCTAAGGCAGAGATAGGAAACCTCGGCACTCCAGCTATGGTGAAACTGCAACTTCTATCATGCCCCTGGAAGTTATGCCTGTGGCCGTCAGTCTTGCAATATCTCATGGCACTGGTAGCTTCACCACAGCTGAAGTGCCAAGGTTGCTTACCCCTGAAGGTAGCCAACCTACTGTACCCTCTGTGAGGTAGATATCCCAAAGTGAAAACTACTATATCCAAAGGTAAGCAAGTGATCACAGTCAGTTAATCAAAATAGTTTGTTGGCACATTTCAAATGAGGTGTCCTGTACAATCAAAAAGAAAATACCACCAAATTAGACTGTCAGCAATCGGAACATTTCCACTTCGTTCTAGCTTTATTGCAATTAATTCAACTGTGATGTTTAAGTCATCCAAGAAGACACCCCAAACACTGCTATACATAGCAATATATAAACCATTTCTCTGTACTGGGCAGAAATAAAGGGATTTTCTATTTCACAAAGCAAGCAAGACGGTGCAATCTCCCAAAACAAGCAAGACTGCCCTCCACAATTAATGCTTGTGGGAAATTGGCGATCCCTGGTGTCCCCCACCACCCTTTAGCCAGTCATTGTCCACTACAGAGAATGCAGACGGATTCATGAAAATGTGATCTCTATTTAAAGCTTAATTGAAAAGGGTTATGATATCGAAAGAATAGCTTTATCATTTCAGCTCTCAAACCTATACAATCTCTATGGGCCAGTGCAATTGTTATATTTCTGATATGGGCCTATTTATTCAGTAAGAATTTTGTCCTTTTGTAAGAAAAGTAATACACATTGTTTGGGTTTTTTAGGACAAGGCTTTCTTTTGGTGATATTTACTTTCTGTAATCCTCAGACACAAATCGTAACAAAACTATCTCTGCTGTATTTACACAGGAACTCCCGGCTATCATTTTGACAGTCCAGAATTGTTGGCTAATGCAAGAGGGAGAGTGTCAGCTGGGCAGAAAAAGGACAGGGCTTACCATACATGCATAATTAAGTTTTTTCAGGCATGTGTAGCACATATATGGTTTTGTTTTTCTACTGTAGAATTACTTCCTTACTAATCGAACATACAATAAAAAAATAAGTGTAGTATAAAGTAAGAGTAACCTTGAATGACAACAGAAAGTCTCCTGGAATCCATGACATACACCAGCTCAGCTGCTTGCTTCAGAAACACTCTGCAAACATAAAATAGTAACTGAGTTGCTTATTTAAAGTACAGCCATTTAAGCAGACAAAATGTTCAGTCCGTTTCAAAGTGACATTTTAGTAATGGTGTACCGAATCACCTGCTTGCTTACTTGTACCTCAGGAACTTCAGGATCAGGATACCCAGAAGCTATCTGAGCCATAGACCTCAGATAGTCACCCATGTTTTGCGTGAATCACCTCTATATGTCTCTGACCAGCTGGGTTTCAGTGGGTGATTCACCCAAATAGCATCAACCCAACCTTCACCAGAAAGATACAACTGCAGTAAATATTTGGTGAATTCCACATTCACTGCTTTATAAATATACACCTTAAAGAGCATGTAGGAAACCATACAGCATCTATTAGTCCAAGTCTTTACAATAATTCATTAGGCACCGGTAAAAAGGTTATAAAAGCTGATAAGCATCACCAAAATGAGAAGGATTATGG